GGATGGCTGGAGGTGCCCAGGCTGTGGCGAGGAGCTCTGGGACCTCAGGCACCGCAGCTTTAGAGGGGGGATGCTCATCTCTGCTCACATGTTCGGGGGGATACTGCAGCCCTGTCGGGGGGACAGGGGCATGGCGGGGGGCTGCTGTGGGTGTGCATACACACGCATGTGTGCGTACGCATGGGCAGAGGTGTGCATGGGCATAGGCGTGTACGCACGTTTGTGTGGGTGCGTGTGCATGGGAGCGTGTGTCTGGGCGCGTGCGCACATGCACGTGCGTGTGGGAGCACATACGTGTGGGTGTGCACGCACGAGTGCGTGTGTACACACTCATGGCCAGCCCGCAGCAATGGGGGCGAAGCCTGAGCTCTCCCCACAGAGGGTTCTGGCATCCCGCGCCCGCTTTGTGCAGAGCCTTGCCCCAAAGCTGGCCTAGCCAGGAATTTCCTGAGGTTTGTTTTTTTTTTTCCCCCTGCATTCAAAAAATTCCATTTGTTGAAACCGTACCATTTCTTCATGGAAATGAACCCATCTTAAGAAAGGCTTTCAAAAATCCAGCGTGAAGTTTCTAGTCCAAACAGGATGAGGCTCCCTGGTGTAGAGGAGCTAGCATGTACTGTTTTTCCAAGCTGTTTACTCTCATAAAAACCCAGAGTGCATCACGCACTAATTAAAATGGCTCTGAAAAGAAGAAAAAAAGCAAAAAGAAAATCCACATCGAGTTTTGCTCAGGGTGAGAAATGGAGAAAGAAATTGCTTTTAGCAGGTCCTGCGCTGGCTTTGAGAGTGTGTCGGGGCAGCACTGCCTGCATCCTCAGGGTAAATCCAAGTGGGACAGAAGCAGAGCGGCTTGGGGAAATTGTTGTGTGTGCCCTGGTATGGGGACCCTGCAAATGGTTTGGGGGTCCCTGGCCCCTGGGCAGCAGGAGCTCCTGACCCCGCAGCCCAGCCCAGCTCCCAGGTCTCATCCTCTGGCTCCGCACCAATCGCCCGGGGATGCGAAACACACCGGTGGGGATTTAATATTAGGGAGGCCAATAATGGAAGGGAATTAATATTGACGAGTGAAAGACAGCGGGTTATCTGGCGGAGAAAAATCGCTTTTTAATGGAAAACAATCACAGGCAGCCTTTGAAAACGTCTGAAAGATTTTGGAAATCTAAATGCAGCAAAATCTGTGCAGACGCCAGGTTTGTCTTTCTTTGCTGTTCGCCAGAAAGTTTCACCTCTGAAGCTCTTGTTATTCGGTGGAAACTGAAGTATCTGAAAACATTTTCTTTTCCTGTCAAAATTACAGTTTCAAAGGGAAATTTTGGAGCAGCTCTACTGAAAGATGGTTATGATTACAGGAAAGAATTACAGCAGTGTCGTTAAGCAGACATAATTGATCAGCATAGCAGTGATCTTCACAATATCCCCCACTCAAGGCACAGGAAATACTGCAAATACCACTCGTAAACCAAATTAGGCATTATTATTTTATTACTGTTGTAAGGTAAATGTCAAGCTTTTAGTGGCAATCACTGTAACTCCGGCAGGAGTCGGGCGTCTGAATTAACTGGAAGAGGTGAAAACCTCCCAGGGCTGGGAGTTAATAAAACTCAATAAATATCATCGGTCCCTTCTAGCGCTTGGCGAGTGCCGCGGATGGAGCGGCTGGGGCGAGAGGTGGGGAGTACAGGGTCGAGACCTCATTTTGCTGCAAAATCAGGCACTGCTGGTTCAGAGGGACGGGGAATGATGGGAGTGAGCACAGACAAAGCCTGCACATCCGTGCACACGTGTGTGCATGAATGCCTCATGTTCCCCGGCCCCTGCTCTCCATAAAGAGCGTTTATAAATATCCAGCCTTGAACTGGGTGGTTTGACGGCAGCAAAACCCAAATTGTCCTTCCCCTCAGCAGCTGTGAGATGTGTGACAGCCGCTGGATCCTGACAGGGAGATGAATATTTGGGATGTGGAGAGAGACTGAAACTGTGAGATGACGCTAGTCAGGACTGTTCTTTTTTCTTTTTCTTTTTTTTCCTCCCCATTCCCCAATTCTCTGGCTCAGCATTTAGGGTTTTATAGAAAGAAAGGGAAAAAAAAAAGCATTTTCAATGAATAGACAACAATTTTTGGGGAAAAAACTCTCAATCTCTCTAAGATGACAATTAGGTTCTCTATATAAAAAGCAGTTCCGATGGAAATCTCCCATCAGTGCCAATGAAGAGGGAACAATCACTAATTTTCCTTGAAGCTAATGAGTGCGAGTGTATATGACAGGGGAGAATTTAATCTGATGCAAACTGAGCAAGAGAAGCAATACTGATATTAATGTGTGACTAATTGATACCCAGAAGAACATTTGAAATGATTAAAAGGCATTTCATTTTTATATAGGACAATAAGAGGCTCATTGGCTATGACTGGTGCATCCTTTCAGTTTTCTGCTTGCTCCAATTTGCCCAGAAAAATCTATCACATCCGCAGCATAGCCTGACTGCCGCATAAAATATCTGTGCCTGGAAATATTATACCAAGAAATTCCTCCTGGACAGCGCAAAGGTTCATACATGGTGTGAGTAGGGGTGGAAAGCCCAGCAGAAATAAAATAGTCCCTGAACCACTAAAAAGTGGCTTCCCAAAGCAGTGGGGCTTGGGCAGCCACCGCCAGCCGAAAACCCATCGTGATTAATACAGTGCTCTTTGCTATAATGAAAAACCCATTAAGGTCAGCGGCAGCATCTCTGAGCAGCACTAAATTGGAACGATGGAGACAGTAAAGTTAAAAATGAACCATAATATTAATGTGGATAGTGAATTAATTGGGCAATTCCATAGGTAGTAAGTAAATCATCGTGTTTACCGTGGGACGAGGCGCCCCGCGTGTCTTAAGACACGGATCTGGAGCACCCGGGGGACCCCCTGTGTCTGTCCCCACCAGCCTTTGCCCCTTCTCCTCGAGTGCTGTTGTGGGGTCTCTCAGTAGGGAAAATGCCTCTTGCTTTGCTCTTTTTGGTACTCCAGCCCCAAAATCGGTCCAGAGAGCTTGTCTGGAGCCGTGCATCCACGGCGCAAGGTGTCTGTCCTCTGGTTCTGCAGCCATGGCCCAAGGTGTCTGTTTCCATTTGCTGTTGCACATGCCAAGCTTTGAGCAGGCTGCTGGTGGATTTACTCACCCAAACCAGGGTGGGTCCCTCAGGAAAGGCTCCTTCACCTTCGGGAGACACGTGCAGTACCATCACGCAGCCCTTCGCCGTCTCCTGCTCCCTTTGTGTCTTGGACTGGGAGCCGCCGTGGGGCAGAAGGCAGTGATTTACACCAGGGTGAAGCATTTGCACACAAGTTGGTTGGCTCCCTCCCCATTTCCAACATGCCGGACAGCAAACAGGGCAAGAGAAAAATCACATGTGATAGGAAAACACTCATTAGCCGGTGCCTGGTTACACAGAACTGCCTCTGCTTCAAACCATCCCACTTTCTGTAACGCTTGCCAGATGAGAGGACGCATACCTCCTCTTATCAACTAGCCACAGATGGCCTCAGCTGAAGGAAGGTTTCAGTAATTGGCCTATTCATCATTCATTGTTTATCTTAAGTTCACATTGTCGTAAGGAACTCCAGAGACATCCTTGATTTAAGTTAAGAAACTTAATCATTATGATAAAACTGCTCGGGGAGTTGGACTTCATGTTGGAGATGCACGTGGCCATGTGGCACTCTGGCAGCCTGTAGCCACAGCAGATTATTCAAAGCTGACAAAGCTTTTGGAGAGAATAGAAAAAGATAAATTCGTGGTGGCTGTTCTGACGGAACCGCTCAGAAAGTTATTACCGTAGACACACACTTCTCCTTGCTCACAGCCCATGAAAAATCCTGCTCCTCCGAGCTCAGGGGGACGTCTACCTCATGCTGCTGTGGTGACTCCCTCGTCAACAGAAGTTATTAACAGCGCTGGAGAATTTTATCCAAATGCCAGTTTCATCTTGATAAATAACAATTTCATGTCTCTGTTCTACTAGATGACTACACGGTTTTATTTCAAACACTTAACTTCTTCAGAAATGCTTCCCCGTGCACAAGGACTTAGCTCATCTATAGAATATGTGCTGAGTAGTTTTTTATTTTCACCAGGCTTCAAATATCTGTAATGCAAAGACCAAACTCATAATCCTGCACTGTCATAAGTCACTTCTCTCAATAAAGAGCTACTTCCTACTGGGAGTGCTAAAATGTAATTGAAAGCTACGTGTGTGTTGGTGTCACACCAAAAAGCATTTTATTAAAAGTAGTTTAAGGGTTGTTAAGACAGAAAGGTATAGTCTACAGCTCCTCTCAGATGAGGGACAATGGAAATCAAGATCATCACTTGGGGAGTGAGGGGCTGGGGTGCCCATTGCCCAAAGCTGCCATACAGGGGCTGTTACTGGGTTCAATGGTCGTGGCAGTGGGTGGATGCTCGGGGGGATATGTGTGCTCCATTGGCAGCACTTCGTTGCCAGCCTGCTTAGTTAGAAGTGAGTAATTTTGGGATGACAGTGTCTGAGGTGTGAGGGGAAGGAGGTGGGGGAGGCCAGCCGGGTTTCTCGGGGACATGTAAGTGTTGTGCTGGAGGAGCGTGGATCCATTGCAGGACGGATGGATGCTCTGGGCTTCTCCAGCAGCAGCAGCGAGAAGCTATTCGATGTGTGGAGACACACCAGGTTCACCTTTGAGGGACCACAGACTCTATATCTCATCTTGCTTATGAACTTGTCAG